TGGGGCTTTTAATCACTTCCCGCAGGGTCTCCGCCCCTCACGTGGCATCCCGCGCCCATCCCGCGGCAGCTGGCACGTCTAGCGCCTCTCGGCCGCCCCCTCTACACTTGGGGACCCGCCTGAGTCCCGGCGGGCTCCAGGAGATGGCACCCGGTTGTCCCGCATCCTGGAGGGTGCAAGGCCCCGGAGAGGGCCGGGGATCGGGCTCCGCATTCACTGCCTGGGGTGACCTTGGGCCTCTCTGGGCCTCAGTTTCCCTCTCTGTCCGGGAGTATAACGATGAGCAGTGTTTCACGAGCACCTGGGGATATAAAGATAGTGTTTGTGAAACACTGGTGAACGGCCCCATGCCACACCAGTGGTGACGAAATAGAAAAACCTGTAACAGAGAGAATGCCGACCGGCGGGTCTGGGGGGCCTTGGCCAAGGTTCCTGAAGGGAAAAGTTAGACTTGCCCCAAGTCCCAGCTTCGGAGGCAGAAAACCCTCAGACTGCGGGGCAATGCAAACTGCAAAAAGTCTTCCCGAGCCCCGCAATCCTGCGGTCCGCGGTACCCGCATGTTGCTATGGCGACGGGAGGCAGCGGCCGTCTCTCTCCATGGCAACGGGAGGGGAAAGTTTCTGGAGAATAGGGATGGTGGGGGCCTTTCAAGAGGGCGCTGGGTTCCCACTAGACCCTCCTCCCTGCATCCCTACACCACCACTGAGATCATGTATGTTGCAATTAAGCATCGTGGGGCCAGAAAGACCAAAATTAAATGGGAGGATGGAGGCTAGACTTCAGGCAGAACTCCACTAGGGGAACTGTGGCGTGAGGTCCAGGAGCAGGTAGGCGGAGGGGCTCCGAGGAGCTTCACTCAGCCCTGCAGATATCTGAGCCGCCACGGGGCGCGCCCGCGGATTTGGGGGGGAAGGGGGGGTTCCACAGAAGTCTAGCGTCCACGTCTGGTTGGCGGGTGGGCTCCTTCCTATGTGGAGTCCACCCGGAGCTCCAGGCTCGGGTCCCTTTGCCTTCCTAGAGCTGGGAGGAAACTTTAGCTGGAGCCTCCGGAAGCCGCGGGGCTGGTGTGTACCCGGGTGGCGGGTGGGGGAGGAAGGTCTTTCCTCCTCATTAACACGCTAATGGGAAGTGGCTCTGGTGGTGACTCACGTTTGGGCGGGAGGAGATTCTCGGAGCCCAGTTCCCGCAGGTCTGCACCATCCGCGGCAGCCGCAGCCGCGTGTGGACTGAGGACTGCAGGCAGCTAGTGCCGGGGGACAAAGGGCCTGCGAGGCCCGAGGACCCGGCCTAACCAAACGGGCTTTCCGACTGTACCACCCCCTGGCTCTGTCCACGGTGCTGAAGGACCAGTGGGTGAGGGAACTGGGTTAGGGAAGGGGTACGGTGGGCAATGGCCGCGGGTTCGCAGCTTGCGCCCTGACCTCTGCAGTAGGAGAGGGCTGGAACCCCTCTGCAGGTAGGAGGAACTCAGCGGGCGTGCCCCGGGCGACACTAGGCAATCCAGGCCGCCTTCCTGCGGGAGGTGTTGAGTTACTGTTCCAAGAAGAGTGGAGGCTGTGGAGTCCCCATTGGCCTCCCAGTGCTCCAGAACCCACCTGAGGAGCCCAGGGGTTCCACCACCTCCCTTCCACCACCGCCTGCAAAGCTCAGCACCTGGGGGAGACGAGCGCAGAGGCCCCTTGTTCCCGGCTCGTTAGCAGGTTCCCGGGTGGCAGGTTTGTGTTTATGTAAAATACAAACGGGGAAGAACCGCTCTCTGCTGGTGTTTATGGCAACTCTGTCACTCCGCGGTGATCTCTCCCTCCCCATCGAGTTCCCGGGGAAATTCGCAGAACAAAGCGCCTTGTTTTGCCTTTGCAGAGAAAAAAAACAAAACCCACACAGGAGTCCAAGGGCCCAGACCTGTGATGCAGAGAAATCAATATTTTACTTAACAAGGAGGGGGTGTGGCATTTACATCTAAACGGCAGGTAAAGGAGCCTGTTAGGAGTAGAGCAGGTGGCAGGAGCCGAGAATTAACAGATAATTCCTCATTGTTCCCGGATTCAGCCTCCACACTCGGCAGGCAGCTCTGCAGCATCTCTGGCGCCGGCAGCAGCTTTGGACCTGGCACTTCTCAACCGAACAGAGAGATGGTCCTGCTCAGACAGGGCTGTGGGGAGGGCCGGGGCTCTCAGTCAGGCAATAACCACTGAATTTGGAGTGTGTGTGTGTGTGTGTGTGAGAGAGAGAGAGAGAGAGAGAGAGAGAGAGAGAGAGAGAGAGAGACTAGGGAAAGAGACAGAGAGGCCGAGGATGAGACAGAACAGAGAGAGACAGAGGGACTGACACACATGGAGGATGAGAGATAAAAGAGAAGCATGTTTTGTTTTGTTTCTAGTTGTACATTAAGAAAAAGAGTCACCCTAGCTGTCCTCATGCCCTCTCCCCCAGGTCAGCTCCTGTCTCTAGAGCTGCATCACCAGCCACAAAGCAGAACACAAATCCTCGTGTACAGATGGGGACTTTTCCTCTCTAGACCCTCTTCCTCCCCCAAGCCTGCTCTCAGAACACAGCTATGCTTCTTCGTATATGAAGAAACCAAATGCACATTCGCTGGGTCCTCCCCAGACCTGGGAGGGAGAGGACAGAAGTGGAACGTTGCCCCTCAGCGCTGTGTCTCAGAGGAAAACCATTCCTGGCTTAGGGTGGGGAGAGAGAGGGAGGAGCCGAGACGGTCAGCATGGATAGCGGCAAACAAGGGCACTGGGCAGGGCACCAGCAGGCTGGGTTCCAGGGCTGGTGCACCAAACCAACCATGGGGCGGTCACATCCCGTGCAGGGCATCCGTTTCCTCATCTGCAAGACAACGAGCTTGAATGAGGAGCTCTTTGGGGCCCCTTCCAGCAGCAGCATTCTAGAATTTTCCATGAAGGGAAGGGAGGAGACGGAGAGGGGCAAGGAAGGAGCTGGACCACTGAAGGGCAGCTTTTCCTGGCTCTGAAGAAGAGGGTGGTGGTACAGATGTCCAGGCTCACTTTGGGCTTCCCCTCCCCCATTGCTCTTGCTCTTACCTCTTCTGCAGCCCTGGCTGGAGCATCCTGAGTCTGGGACCTCCCTCCCACCACTGGCCAGACTGCTCAGAAGCAGAGAGGGGACTTGGAGGTGGGGGGCAAGGCCAAATGAGAGGAGGTTTGGAGCAGAAACCAGCAGCCTCCCACTCCTTTGCCCTCCTCTCCTTAGAAATAGCCAAAAGGCACACCCTCTGCACCTGCCCAAGTCTCTTAGGCAGTGGCCTGGATGCCCTTGGACAGGTTCCCACCCTGCTCTGAGTGGCAGTGCCCTGTTGAGTTATGCTACAAATAAAAGAAATGAAAACAAAATAATAATTTCTTTTAAAAATCTCAGCCTCGGTAGGAAATTGCTAATGCTGTAGGCGGGAAGAATGAGCTCCTTTGACATGAACTGATGTGTCATATTGTCTTTCCATCTCAATGCAATTTCTAAATAAGGAGCCCTCTCCTCGTTCCCTCCTCCTCCGGAGCCCCCAGCGGAGATGTGAAGGGAGCAGTCTGACGTTCGTTCTTCGTAGCTGGGTTGTCTGACGTGCAGGGGCAGGCAGAGAAAGGGACACAAGCGGACCCCTTGCTTTGTCTCATAAGAGGGCTCTAACCCAACCTTGAGGGCCTCTGACCTTCCCACATCTCCTGCTTACTGAGGCACTTTCTGCAAAGGTTTTAAATTTACTCTTAAGAAAACAGACATCCGTTGAACCCATTGTACTGCTGGTGGAGAATTAAGTTGATGTCCTGCATGGGGCAGTGGGAATACTAGTAACTGTACACCATTGTTTGGAACAAACTCTGCTGTGGCATCTCTACGGGGTTTGGGCCAGAACAGCTTTATCAGTATTTCCAGTAGATGTCACTCTCTGCTCCCCCATCCCCCACACCAACATAGCCACTCTAGCCCACGTTGGGTGACTGGAGGCAAACTATGCCCTTCCACGCCATCCTCAGAGCTTCCAGGCATTCCTCCTCGCCGGGAAAGATGCAGAAGGCGTTGCAGAGGCCTGAGTCAGCGGCCAGCCTTGCTTTTATTCTAGGAAAGATGCTGGGCAGTTCACACCTCCCGAGCCAGGGCTAGATGTACCGCTTTCTCATTCTTTCCTCAGTTCAGAGGTTTCATCTCTGTTCTGAGCTCTCTGTTCAAGCAGACAGTATTCCAGATCAGACTTGAGAAGACTGGACAGGGTTCAAGTTCCCAGCAGTCTGGGGCCTGGAAGCAAGATACAGGTTCAAGGTCAGAAGGCAACATCATCCCTGAATCAGTTTTAGAGCTGGACCTGACCACGATGGGTCCAAGGATCTAGTACTGAAGAAGTAAGGATGATCTTGGAGGGGAAGGGCGAGGAAGGAAGCCAGGCATGCTCCTCTTCACACTGACCCTGTGCAGTAGAAAGAGCGCGGGTTTCGGCCTCAGACAGACCTGTGTTCAAATCCTGGCTCTATCACTTACCAACTGTATCACGTTAAGCACCGTAACTTTAGTTTTCTGGACCTCAACTTCCTTATCTGTAAAATGGGACCTGTGAGGCCTGGTTTATAGTCTACAAGGATTCTGTGAATTAGGTTGACGACCTAATTTACTGTGACTGATCGATGGCAGGTGTTAAATGACAGTTCCTATCCTCTTCCATCTCTCAGACCATAGAGGGGCATCCAGAGGGTTAACCCTTACTCTTCCACTGGGCAAGTCCCTGAAGATTGCCAAAAGGGAATTGATCTCATTTAATCCTATAACAAACCCAAGGGGCAGAATGGGTGGC